ATATATTTACCAGGCTAGTTCCTACATGGTTCTTAACCTTTTTATTGTAAAATGAAACAGAATTATTATAAGACAAACACTCTTGAAATCACTATGCAAATGAAAAGCCTAGCCTGTCAGTCCCTCCAAAAGCCAATTTGTTCTGCATCAATCTTAATCCCATCCCTCTCTGGAAAAGAAAAACTGGCCCTTCTACTAATTATCTCCTTGTATTTCTTTATAGTTTTATTACCCACATATGTATCTCTAAAAAAGTATGGTTTAGTTATACTGAATTTTATATGCCTTTTGTGTCTCTTACTCCACACATTCTTTTTTCATCAGAGGGAGGAGTCTTTTACCTACGTGGCACACGGGCCCATCCCTGGACCGTTCTCTGGGCAGAGCAGCCCAGAGAGCCGTGCTCTGTGTGAGTTAGAAGACGATGCACTTTCTCCATGTGTGTACTCCCCCGCCCTTTCCTCCTTACTGGTAATCTTGATCAGGGTATAACCCATGCAACTATATCTGGTGGCCCAATTACAGGGGTTCTTTACATTCTGTTTCATTTTCTTATTTTTGTACTTCATCTATTGCGTAACCCAGAGTTGCCCAATATCTAGACTTTATTAATTTTATACTTATGGTCCAGGTCAACATACTTTTCTGCGCTCAGGTGTTTGTGCCAATGGCAAGCTGAGTGCAGAGGCTTGTTTGAAAAGTGTGTTTGTTTGACTTAAAGAGCAAATGTTTGATGGTGTGTTCTCCTACCAGGAAATACATAATGCCTGCTTGTCTCTCTTTGTACGATGTTGGCAGCCATTTGTGTTCAATGCCCAGGTCAGTCATCAGCAATGCCAGCCCGGGGCCAGATTCAGCTATCCATCTGTTTACTAGAGCCTCTGAGCACAAGCAGTCACATTTATTTTAGGATTTTCTATGGCTGCTTTCTGTCTGCATTGCAGGATCTGTTACTGTATGTGTGACTCACCAAGTCCAAACGGTTCCGTTTCTGAGCCTCATCTAATGTTGGTCCGTACCTGGTCAGTATAATCAATCTTTATGTCAGAATCCCTCTAGTCATGCTGTCTATGGATTCCTTGGGCAGCGATTTTGGAAAAAAATATTACCCGAAGTTCTGCATGTTGGTAACACTTTGTGCACTTAATAATTAAAAGTCCATTTTTTCTGGTTATGAAATCCTCTGATCCATTTTCTTCATGTTTATAACATTAATAATTTTTACTTTCTTCTGAGATAAAAGTTGGAACATCTCATTATATATTGTCCTTTTTTGTTTTTGCCTCTACTAGTCATTTGCTCTTTATATCTAGATGTTCAACAAAATTTTTACTTTAAGTTTTTAAAGTCTAGTAATTTTACTGAAATATTTCTCAGTGCTCTGAGTCACTATTCTCAGATGCTTGTATGTGATGTGCGTTAAAAATGTAGTTGCAAATCTTTTTATTTTAGAAAGGCATTCTCAAATGATAGTTCTTGGCCTTTATTTTATTCTTTCAATATAGTTTTCATCCTCAGAAACTCTGTGTTTCAGAATACTAGTGATACATTTTTTTTGCCAAGCGACAAAATTTGTTCTTTCTTTAGTCCTATTACTAGCCAAATACCATGCACACAATTATCCCAGCAATAATCCTGAAATGAGTTATTATCACAGTACCTAAGCACAGTACCCTTTAAATTCAGGTCAATGGCTATTCATGGCAGTTTGTCATATCCTTCCTCCAAAGGACTAGTAACAGAAATGGACATTTATCAAAAACTGTGAACTAGGTACCACGCTATGTACTTACATACTCTATTTTAGTTCATCCTCCAAACAAGTTTATGAGATTTGATCCACAGATAAGGAAATAAAAACTTAGAAAGTTTAAATAGTTCCCCAAGTTGGCACAGCTCTTGTGTGACACCAGACTGGATTAGACGTTGGCATGTTAACTGCAAGGTGAGCAGTTCAAACCCATGAGGCGAAACTTCTTGGAAAAAAACGTGAGACTGTCTGTCCCATAAAGATGTCCAGGCCCAGAAATGGCCCTGAGTAAAATCAACTCAACGGCAGTGCGTGTGATTTTGCTGTGGGCTCAGATTCTTAGCCATCACAGTGCGTTGCTATGTAGATATAAATGTAACTCGGGTCTTCATCTGCAAGGTGTTGATCTTCAGATTTAGTCTAGCTCGGTAACAGTCCTCAGACCTCCCAGCCTCGGGTACCAATGGGCACTCTGTTCTTGTTAGGGTCACCTAGGGTGAGACAGAAAGAGGAAGCGAAACGATGCCCGAGCAAAAGGAACCTTTCAAACTCCAGGAGGAGCCCTTCACAAATGAGATTTGCCAAGGAAACGATCTTACATAATACAGCTCATCTCTGAAGCGTTTTCTGAATGTAAATTACAGAATATCTAATTAAGATAGAGCTTAGAAAAATATGGCCAAATTTTGATTGTTTAGCAGTATTTTATATCAACATTAGATCCTTGTACCCTCTTTCACTCACTGACAAATCTGTAATTTGTCCCTGACTAATCCCTCAAACCCAATAGTTAGAAAATGTTTTGATTCTTGTTTTGCTATTTAAGATTTACAAAAACCATTTTGGAATTTATCTCATGCCATTTTTAAGGCTCGTAATTAAGGGCCAATGTTTTCATTTTGTTGTTGTTGTTGTTCTGTTTTGTTTTGTTCTGTTCTGTTAAACTTAAATCGAATTATTTTCAAGTGCCACGTAAAAGTCTAAGCATGTTTAAAAGAAATAGGTGTCGAAAAAGATACAGGTACTGTAGTATGAGCCAGTCCGTATAAAACAGCTGACAGACTTTGGAAGAGTGGAAATGTGGGAGGAAAGCAACCTTATCTTTGTAAGAGGATTGCTTTTTCTGTTACGGAGAGCTGGCACAGATGGTTCACACAAGAATGAGAAGAGCTGCAGGGGCTCATCTCAAAGGCAGACAGGGCAGTGCCCCCTGGTAAATGTGATTGTATCTGGTCGCAGAAGCAAGAAGACAAGAAGGCTGGATGCCACTAGCTTGATTAATTTTCAGTAGGGCGTATACAAACGGGAACTGATGCTCTGATTCTTCTAATTAACTCAGATGAATCATAGGGTGTTAATAGTTCAGCTTTCTGCCCTTCCATCATCCATCTGGGCAAGGGCTTGCTTAGTGAGAACTGATCTGACAATTAAGAGGCACAGGCAAAGCCCTAGGAAACCTGCATTTCAAAGCGGTCTGCTGCTAATACTAGGATTTTCACTTTTAAATGAATGCTAGCCCTGTACCACCTCCATTGTAAAAAATACAAACAACCAAAATGTTTATGTTTCAGCTTTCCAAATGCAAGAATGGACATATTAATTCTGTGTTGTTAGCAACATCCATTTAATTATTCACTTAACTAGTAATGATCAATGACGTGAACATTACTGGGATATGGGAAATATAGTGTTAACTTTCACTTGTCCATATCCAGCTTAGTATATATGAAGGATTACACTGTGCTTAGGAAACAACAAAAACAGAATCTCTAAATCAGGGATCATCTGTACATTTTTTTCACTCCTTTATTAGACTGGTGGAAGACCGTACTGCCAGCTTCTCAAATACTGGATTTTGTTCAGAAGAACGCATGTCTTGCCCCAGCATATCAATCTTCTGCAGATTTAGGAATGCAGAGACCCATTTTGGTACCTTCAGAATCAACACGTTTGTTGAAAATAAAAGGGACCAGGCTTTGACATTTTCCAGCGTGTTATCTCTTTAATTTTCCATCTGCCTCTTTTGCTACTGACTTCCAAAGGAACAGCTGGCGCCTAGCTGAGCAAAGGGACAAAAGACTGGATCTATGCCACTGGGTCTGCAATCCCAACCCTGCGATGTAGAATCAGAGAAGGGGAGAAGACAGCAAATGATCCCCCCCAAAATGAAATGAGGACCAACAGTCTGTTGAGAACAATGCTGTATTTCCTCTGATTGCAGAACTTACCGGGACCTGGCAGTCTGTCCGGCAGTATGTCCTGATTTAGACTGGAGAGAGGCGGGGAGTATTTTTGAGTTGCAGTGTAAGCCAGAGTTGCCTTGTCTGTGACATTATCTTATCACCATCATTCTTCTCGGTTTTTCACAATGAAAATAAATTCGGGGGAAAGAGCCAAATAAGTCCTTTACTTGGCTGATTAGATATCCACTCTTCCCACCCACGACTCTAAAAATTTGGATAGAGTTGGTTGGTCCCGTGACCTGAAGAAGTGGGTTGGCACCATTTTATCTTGTGCCAACCTTGCTTTCTTTCCTGGCTCTTCCTGCACATTAGGGAGCAAGACCAGGGAGCAGTGGCATCTCCTTTACCGACTACCTAGACGAAGCTTTGCAAGTGGAGCTTGTTGGGTGCTCTTTGTGTAGCTAGGTTTGAATGAATGATGCTTTTGCAGTTCAGTTTAAACACAAAATGAGCTTCCGGTAAAATGACTGTGAGAGGGACCCATGCAGATTTAGTAAACGATTTGTATATTCCAGGCCTAACGTTTCTGTAATTTATGACTACTGCCCATAATGTCTGTTGCCTTCAGTATAATACCATCATCAAACATAATAAATACAGCCGGAGGGAATTAAGCCAATTGCTACAACGTGTCTGCACTTAGTAATGGGGAAAATCTATAATGGCATGGTCATCCACTTAAATGAAACACAACAAAATCAAAGTTAGTTACTTTCCAATATTTTTGTAACTGATTTTCTCTTTACCTTTAGGTGTCTATCTGTAATCCCATGGGTAATGTTGTTTGTTTGTTTTTAAAATCTGGAGCTAAAAGAATCCAGTCCTTTCTACAGAGTTTTTATTCAGCTTCTTCCAGTCCATCGCAGCACCGGGGCAGGGACCTCACCTTTTTTTCCTCTCTAGTCTCTCCCCAGTGATTTACCTGAGAGTGACAAGTACATGGCCCAAACCAGCTCTCGTTATTTGAACTCACCATAATTCTAATTTATTTATTTTGTCGCCTTTAGGACTACCAAGAGGCTTCTAATTTGGAGCAATTTGTAACTCGGTTTTTGTTGAAGGAGACATTGAATCAACTGCAGTCTCTCCAAAATTCCTTGGAATGTGCTATGGAAACGACTGAGGAGCAAACCCGTCAAGAAAGGCAAGTGACACGCTTTCAGGTGATGTCTCCTTCGTGACTGTGTATATGAACAACCACTTGAGAGGCAGGGTACTTACACTAGTGGAAGCTCAAAAGGAAAATCAATAGACTGCACGAAAGTGGCAGGGACTTGCACTAGTGCTTAAAATTGTAGGTGCCTCTGAAAAGATTATTCTACTTTTACTTTGACTATCTGTCAATGCATTCATATAAAGAACTCAGTAAACAGAGAAGACTTTAAAAGACACCAAATCACAGCCACTGCCAGCAAGTCAACAATTCTGACTCCCTGCACAAGAGAAAACAAGAGAATTGCTGCGTAGGGTTTCTGTGGCTGTAAACATCCTCCTCTTTCTCCCGAGGAGCAGCTGGCAGGCTCGAACCACAACCTTTTAGTTAGCAGCCCAATGTTTAAACCACTTTGTCACCAGAGCATCGATTAAAAGACACAGGAGTTGGCACAAATATATATTTTTATAATCCTTATTCTTAAAAACACTAAAGTCTATTATATAAATAAGACATGAACACTAAAACTATAATGCAAGGTAAAAAGTAATAATACTATAGGAAAGGAGAAATAAATTGCCAAGGGTTTGAGGGAGATTAAATATAGAGAGATGGAAGGCGGTTTCATAACGATTATCTTTAGACAAGCACCTACCCAGCTCCTCAACTTTGAGCAGAGAAAACCATAAGTCTGGGAGCACAATGACATTGATTTCCTATTCTTAATGTGCAAATAAGACCTACTTTGTTGTTTCTTTTGATTACATTTTCTGGAAATAAAGTGGATTCTCCCTTTTTAGAATCAAGATATTCTTCTACCTAAGAGATGTGAGAAAGGGCTCCGTTTAGTTTCTTCAGCCATCTCCTGAAAACTGCTGTCTTTCATTCACCACCACATAGTGAATTTTTAATGAAATCTGTTCTTCTTTGGTTAGGTCACGAACTGGCCTTGCACTCTTGTGATTGCTGCCAACAGCTGCTGCAGCTGTGTTGAATGGGAAGAAGTATGCTCATGCAGGATGTAAGGGAAGCGGGAGGCACTCGGGAATTGAGTTTTTGTTCCTTGGCCAATAGTTCAACAATAGTTTGGGAAAACAATAGGAAGCATTACATATCTGGCGTTAGATTAGGAAATGCTATATTGTATAGTCATTGTTGATAAAAGCATCCAGGGAGAACCTATATAAGATTTCTGAAACTATAAATCTTTACAGGAGCGGACAGCTTCATATTTCTCCCAGAGAATGGTAAGTGGATTTGAACCACTGATCTTGTAGTTAGCTGTTCAATGCTCACTCAACAGCCTCACCAGGGCAAAGTAAGGTTCAGTGCCATTGAAAGCTCTCACTCTCAGGTGAGCGCCGGGACTGCGCCGTGTCAGTCTGACTGTTCTCCATGGAGTATTCAAGAGCTGACATTTCAGAAGCAGATCTAGAGGGCTTTTTTTCCCTAGGGGCCTCCAGAAACTTCTAAGTTTTAGATGATTAGCCAAGCCCCTTAGCTAATTGTTTGTACCACCCGGACTACATTACTCTCTACTTATATCTACAGGCAAATCTTGTTTTAGTTTGATCTCTTGCACTTTTTGGATACGGCCTTTAAAAAAACAATCATAAATTAAAGTTTGTGACAACCTTGCACTGAACAAGTCCACCAGTGCCATTTTTTCAATAGCAGGTGCTCATTTCATGTGTCTGTGTCACATCTGGCAATTGTTACAATGTTTCAAACTTTTTTCATAATGCTATTATACTTGCTATAGTAGTATAATGCTATTTTTCATCATGCTATATATATTTGGTATGTCAAGGACTACCAAAACCAAAAACCCAAATCCACTGTCATTGAATCAATTCTGACTCATTGGAATCCTATATAGGACATAGTCGAACTGTACCTTAACATTTCCAAGACTATAAATCTTTATAGGACTGGACAGCATCATTTCTCTTCCTTTGAGAGGCTGGTGAGCTTGAACTTCCAACCTTGAGGTTACTAACCCAGCATTCATCCTTAAGAGAATACTCAGAAACCCACTGCCATCAAGTCAATTCTGATGCAGAGTGAACCTACAGGATAGAGGAGGACTGCTCTGTAGGGTTTCTAAGGCTGTAAATTAGGACCAGACAGCTTCATTTATCTCCCGTGGAGCTGCTGGTGGGTTTGAACCACTGACCCCGTGGTTAGCCGGCCAGTGCATGATCAACGACACTACCATGGATCCTAATAAATTACTGTAATTGTAAATATAACTTGCATATGTACTAGCAAACCAAAAAAGATTGTGTGACTCATTTTATTACAATATTAGCCTTATTGCAGTGATCTACAGCTGAACCACCAATGTCCTCAGGGCATGCCTGTATTCACAATCACAGCCCCTTTTTATAACCCCATTTCACTTCAAATTCTTTTTTTTTTAACGCTGAGGACCTGGTGGCAGGAGTTTTGCCTAATTCTCCTTCCTCTACATGTCACAACTACATATCAAAAAATACAAGACTGAAAGGGAATTGCAGGAATCCCTAGGAGGGAGCCATGAGTAAGGACTTGGGACAATGAGGAGATCAGTGGGGATAACTGTCATCGGAACTGTAAAAAGTCGTAAACCTTGACACATAGATTTAGACATAATGTTATTAAAGATGCTTGGCAAACAGGGAGCGACATAACGCAAACTAAGTATAAGGAATATTAGTCAAAGTGATGCCATATGCAATTAGTGAAGAGAAGAGTAATCTCAGCAGGGGATTATCAAAGCAGTGGGTCCAAAAATTCCATTACATTTTAATATCATAAATAAAGATTTCATGATGCCCTACTTTGGCAAGCGTACCGCCCACAGATATCATCGAAACCCCCAAGGTTTAATTATTTGCTCCCTTTTCAGCATCAACAGTGCTTTGAGGTTCAATATTTGTGAAATCCAGGGTTATAAGCAATCTTCCATATGTCGCGAATTTTGAAAAGTCATCTATTCCATTTATCAACCCCGAGGTAGAATCACAGTGTCGTCCACCTGCAGTAATGCCTTAGACATGGCATGTTGAGCAAAATATTTGCATTTGTTCATGTGGAAATGGCAATTTCGGAGTGCAGGGATGCATAGGAGCTGGGATGCTACAGAGGTGAGATTATCAGATGTCATTCGACAGCACTCTTTGTATCTGCCTCAGCGAACTGGCTGAATGGGAGGCATGTTAATTCCATGTCTTATGAAGGTACCCAGAAACCAATGGCAAGAATGATCATTGCTTTGTATTGAAGATTCCCTCTCAAATACCCTTGTCAGCTTATGCAGCCCGCTCTTCCTCACCAACTAGATTTCTGGGAGTATAGTTTAAGTATAGATAGATTTCCTTTTTTATAATGGAATTTCTGAAGTTGCTCTCTTTTTCTAGAGTTGTTCTATATTCAGGGATATAACTGATTTTTTCCCTGGGTTTAGAGCTTATTTTCTATTGCCCAAAGATGTTCATTATAGAAATAAGAGAAAAAATGTTTAATTTTGTCTACAAGTGATTTTCCCAAACATACAGTTTATATGTACAGTTCAGTAACACTGTACAGTTACTCTCACCCTCCTTTTTTGGGATGTTCCTCCCTGTTAACATAAACTCATTGTCCCCTAAGGTACCTATCTAATATTTTGAGTTACTTTTATCACTTTGATCCCATAGAAATCTTTAAAACAGCATATTGATTTTTAAAAAGTAGACATTTTCCTTAATTAAGCTAGACAGTTAATTCAGATTTAATAAAACAGCAGGGAATATTTATGGCCTGGGGTTTAAAGATTATCTTAAGGCAAAAGTTTCATTGGCTTATCTAGCCTCCAAGTTCCAGAGAATCTGGAGTCAACGAGAATTTGAAAGTCTGCCCCAGGTTTTCCCCCTTTTCATCTGATTCTTCCCTGGAAGCTTTGATTAAAATGTTCAGTAAAGATAAAGTTAAGGTGTTGATGCCGTAAGACAATATATTGGGAGATTGGGGGTTAAACATATGGAATTTCTTCTGATTCCTCCCGAAACCCTTCAAAATTGGCAGTAAAAGTATCAAGGTAGGAGAGTGCACGGCCCACAAACATAAGAAGGATGGGGAGAGCCAATAGGATCACAATTTGGAACCTAGAAAGAAGGTGGATTTAAGAGACCTGTGAAAACAAATACGTCAGCAGACAATGTTGGAAGCCAAGACACAATCTAACTGGGATCAGACAAAGCTCAGAAAGAACTCAGAATTTCCCGTACAGTGTGCCACTCATAGTAGGGATGAAGTCCATGGAAAGGTTTATAAGGTCCCATATTGTAGCATACTTATCGCCACTCTTCAGATGTTGAGGAAGTGTGAAAGCATCCTCTCTGAGGAAGATTAATAGACTAGCAAAGGTACCATGGCTGAGGTATTCATGGCAACACTGGGGTAAGGACGCATGCCCCCAGCAAACAAACTACGTGAAGGTGTCTAGATGGGACAGGGAGAGCAGGTTGCAGCACACTGGTGTTTCCGTGGGTGAGCACGCGCTGTTCACTGAAGGGTCAGCCTTGTGAACGCACCACCTGTTCTGTGAGAGAAAGATGTGGCAGTCTGCTTCTGTGAAGTTCACAGTCTTGGAAATGTTATGCAGCAGTGCTACTCTGCCATTAGCAAGAGCTGGGTTTGGGTTTCAAAACACTTTTCTTCCATAGCACTAACCTCCAGGCATATACCATACTGTTGAGGTATGCTTCTCTTAGGAATCTAGGCAAAGAGAAAGGGCTTCAAGATACCAACAGTAGCTTCCCTAATGAATAACAACAACCTCACTGCTATAGAGTCCACTTTGACTCACAGTGACTCCATTGGACAGGGCAGAACCACCCTTGGGGGTTTCCTAGATTGTAACTGCCTGGAAGTAGAATGGCCTCTGGCGAGCAGGCTGGTGGTTTTGATCTGCTGATCTTAACGTGTAACCACTACACGTTAGCAGCTCAACGTGTAACCACTGCACCACCAGGGCTTCTTATTGATGAGTCAGGAGAAGAAAATAAAGATGTGCTGATACTGCTTCAATCTCTCAAGCTTTTTACCTCTCATGGTGCACTATTTCTTTTTTTTTTTAATCATTTTATTAGGGGCTCATACAACTCTTATCACAATCCATGCATACATCAGTTGTGTAAAGCATATTTGTACATTCATTGCCCTCATCATTCTCAAAACATTTGCTCTCCACTGAAGCCCCCGTCATCA